TGTGAATGCTGGCTCCGGTGTGCCTTGGCACGCCTGGTGAGGGCTCCACAGGAGGTGCACGGGGGCCCTCAGCACCACTGGCCCACCCGCAGCACTCAGGTTGATGAGAAATCTTCCTTATCAGTGTCTCTCCCGGTCGTGGCTTTGAGCAAAATAGGAGTGAGAGTTTCTGAACCTGTTTCCTCATCTGCGAAGTGGATGCCTTGATATCTACTCCGAGGGTCTGTGAGGATTAAATAAGAGAATGCCTAGCACACAGGAGTCAAATCTGATTCTCCTTTCTTCCTTCTTCTACCCCACAGCGTCTCAACTCGTTGGTCATCTTTTCCTTGAGCCCGGAGGCCTGCAGTCAGGTGCCGTGGGCTCGCCGGGTGTGGTCTAAGTCGGTAGTGGGGGCCCTGCTGGAGACAGAAGCCCTGCGGGGAGGGTGGGGGTGGCAGAGACCTGCTTTTGGGGGCCTTACATGTCTCTCTTCTCGTCCCCGTCCTCGTCCCCAGATTCAGGCTTGTGGAGAAGAGGGTCGGTGAGCGAAGGGCGGGAGGCCTTGGGTTCCACAGGTGGCTCCCTCGCTTATTCCACCAGCAGTTCTGCATTTGATCCTCTCTTCCGGGTGGTGCAGTTGGACAGACAGACAGAACCCTCTGCCCTCGTGGAGCCTGTATTCTAGTGGGGAGGCAGCTCTTGTGACAGTAAATCAGTGTGTGAGACGAGCTATGGAAAACAGCAGGTGGTGAGGGGGCAGACGTGTTTGCTGCTGTGACTTTGGCTGCAATTTTAAATCAACTGGTCAGGACGTGCTGGGGGTAGGAGGGGAGTGAGCCTCCCAGGGGATGATGGCAACAGCAGTAACGGCCTCCATTCTCTGTGGTGGTAAATTCACAGCAGCAGCGGGGTCCCTGTTTTATAGCTAAGGACAGACTCTGGGAGATGAAATAACTTTCTAGTGGTGGAGCTAGAATTTGAACCCAGGCCTGTGTGACCTCAGAGGGTGGTCCCACTAGCATTGCCCTCTGCCCCGTGCCCATGAGGAGCCACCCTGTCACCTGGCGAAGCTCCAGGGAGCCAGCAGATGCTGTCGCCACCGTGGACCTGGTCTCTGGGAGTGGGTGGGTGGCACTGCCTGTGTTCCTGGTGAGGGAGTCGGGCCGGATGGTCCTGTGTTCCGGACAGGACCTCGCTCACACACTGCAGAGCGCGCCAGCCTCAGAGGACGAGGATGAATCACAGCAGAGAGGGCCAGCTTAGTCAGCACCCCATGCTGGTGTCTGGGTGCCGTAGAGATGTCCGGCTGTCCCCATTCCCCTTTCCCTGACCTCCCACTCAGGGCTGCCAAGTGCGGTGGTGCAGGTTGTGCCTTGTGCAAGGACGCCTGGCTACGAGGTGAGGCAGAGTGAAATACACTCTGCTTGCCAAGTTGTGTGTCTGGCCCGGTGCTGTGTCTGTCCAGAGGATTCTGCAGCCGCATCTTTTGCTAATGTGCGCCGGGGCACTGGAGCGGGAGAGAGTTGGGTCAGGAGCTCTAGAACTTCACACCTGGATGATGCCTGGGTGAGGTCACCCTGCTGGAGGCCAGCTCCTAACCAGGGACAGGGCCTCTGCCTCCATGGGGTCAGGCCTGTGAAGGAGGCAGGAAGTGCTGGCCCCTCTAAAGCCGCTCTGCTCCCTTGACACCGTTCCTGGGCATTGGGGGCTCTGCAGAGCTGCTGTGCAGGCAGAGGTCTTAGCCTGCCAAAGGGGCTGAGGTTCAGTCCCACCCCTGCCTTGTGCTGTGTGCTTTGGACAACTCAGTTCCCTTTACTGGCCTCCCTTGCCTCATCTGTAATATGGAATAGCTGACCACAGAGGTCACTTGGGCACTGATATCCTGTTCCTTGTTCTGAGTCTCAGTTTTCTGAAATACAGGCTTTTGGAGGCTAATAATAATGATGGTGATGATGGCCAATGTTTCTGGAGGGCCTCCTGTGGGCCAGGCTCTGTGCTAAGTGACACACGTGTGTGTGTGTGCCCTTAGAGATCACCTGGTCTAGCTGTCTGCCTCCCACTTCACATGTGGGGAAACCGAGGCCTAGAGAGGGCAAGAGCCACATCCTCACCTGGCAGAGCTGGGACTAGACACAAAGTCCATTGACCCGTCCTGGACGGCTGAGCACTTCCCCTGTGCCAGATGAGGGGTGGCCAGGGTGGGCAGAGGGAGGCACGGGTGGGCAGCGCTGCCACGATGGCCCTCAGCTGAGGCTGGTGTGCCCCCCATGGTTTGTGCATGTGAGAGAGAGGGGAAAACACAAATACACACGCTCACACAGGCACACACAGCCCAGCCCCGAGGGGCTCATCATTTGAATCGGTGTTGCTGGGCAGGTTGGGAGAGGGGCATGCGATCTTCATTTCCTGGTGGTTTGGTTGGAGACCTGCTTTGCCCTTCCTGGATGTGTGATCTGGGGCACCTCACAGCACCTCTCTGGGCCTCAGTTTCCTCAATCGTAAATGAGGTTGTAATACATACCTCTTGGGGTTTAAAGGGGCCACATGGTCCTGGGGGTATAGTGAGTAAAGGAAAGCTGTCATCAGTATGATTTGTTAGGAGGCGACTTTCATAAGTGATTAGGAGTGTGGGCTCTAGAGCCATCCTGCCTGTGTCCTAAGTCCAGCTCGGCTGCTTTCTAGCAGCATGATCTTGGCTAAGTCACTTCACTTCTTGGAGCCTCAGTTCCCTCATCTGAAACCTCACAGGTTGTCCTGAGGATTAAGTGAGATGATGGATTATAAAGCTTTTAGCCCAGTGCTGGCACATAGTAGGTGCTTAGTGCATCAAATATTACATAACATTTATTGTACACTTGCTTAATGCCAGACATTATTAGTGTCATTTGTATTGCTGTTACTCTTTTATTAATAATTCATTTGGATTCAAACTTCTGTGTGCTGCTCCCTAAGCAATCAGCCAACCCGTTGGACCCACCGCCCCATATTCCTACAGTGAAAGTAGAGGCCTGGAGAGGTCCAGGGTCACACAGCTAGCTTCCCAGTGCCCTGTGTGGTTTTGCCTAGCTAAGTCTGCCGCAGAGCCACTGTTCCTTATCAGTCTCCTGGAGGAACGCCCCTCCCACTGGCCCTCCCGTCCCCTCCCCTTTATGCTCCAGAGCCAGTGGCTCCTCTGAGCTTCAGCCTTCATGAATGGCTTAGTTAAGCACTCGGCCGTTAAACGTTCATCTCTTACAATTTCAGTCCAATTCCTATAAGTTTATTGGCAAGACGGGGTGTATTAGAGCTGCCAAATTTAATATATCAAGTCCGCGTGTCTGGGATGCGGTTTCTCAGCAGTAATGGGAGAAGAGAGGTTTTATACATTTTCATTTTGAATGACTGTTCGTGATCCCATTACAGCCCTTGACTTAATGGCTGCTGTCTCTGCCGCAGGAGCGGCTTCCTCCATCCCTCGCCTGGCTGCCTGGACTGTCCAGGGGCTTATTTGTCTCTGTGTCTCTCCCCGTTCTCTTCTTCCCAACATGTATTCCCCCATCTCTCTGCTCTGTGGGTCAGGTCTCAGCTTTAACTTTACTAGCCAGATTCTGAGAGTCTGGGGCTTTTGCCGCTGGCCTGGGCTGCTACCTCGTGACCTTGGGGAAGTCACTTTTCTTCCTCCTCTTGGCCTCAGGAACCTGCTCTGGGAAATGAGGGGTCAGACTATAGGACCTGAAAGGTGAGAGGCTATTCTGGGCTCAGCCTTTGCAGATCCCACCTGGTGGCCCTGAGTGAACCCATTTGTCCTCTGGTCTTGTGACACCAAACGGGGACCCAAGGGCTGGCCTTGAGTCATGGCTGCAGATCTCCTGGGTCAGGAGTGGCAGCTGTGGTCACCAGGACTGAGGGGTCTTAAGTATCTGAAGACCCTGAAACGTTCTCATTTCCCTCTGTGATTGCCACCTAAGTGTTTAGCTGGTCTCCTTGCGAAGCTGTGTGCATTTCTCCCTGAGCCCTCTGGCTTCTCTAAGCCTTAAGCTGGCTGTGGAAGGGAGGACACCAGCAGCGGGATTTTAGGGCACCTGGGTTTGCCTTCTGCTTACCAGCTGTGTGACCTTGGGCAAATCGCTTCCTCTCTGTGAACCCCAGTTGTCCCATAAGGAAAATGGGAATTAACTCATTGTTGAATAACAAATATTTGGTTGCCTACTCTGTACCGTGCACCACTTTGGGGGCTGGGGCTTTGTAAATTTTATGTAGAAAAATAAAGTGTGAGTGTCCTAAAAACAACAACAACAACAAAAACACAAAAATATCCCAGCCCACATGGATTTATATTCCTGTTGAAGGAAAGAAAAATATAATAAACATAACAAGTAACTTATTACTTCAAAGGTGATAAAAGTGAAGCAGGGAATGGGGAAAGCTAAGTGGAGGGTTCTGCAATTTTAAATAAAGTGGTCATGGGAGATTACTGAGAAGGTAGTATTTGCGCAAAGATCGAAGGAGTCAAGTGAGCAAGCGGGGCAGGTATGCGGGGGGAGCATCCCGGCAGAGGGAACAGCAGGTGCAAACAGCGGGAGGTGGGCGTGTGCCTGGCGTGTGCCTGGCACGTGTGAGGAGCAGAGAGGGGGTGCTGTGCGGCCAGCATGGAGGAACAGGAGAGGGGACGTCAGAGGTGGTGGGGGGTGCTGTCCAGAGTGGGTGAGGTGGTGGTTCTCCAGCCTGGCTGCAGACAAGAATTCCCTGGGGCGCATTAAAACATGCTGATGCCCAGGCCTCACCCACTGTGTTTCTGCTTTAACCGACCTGGGGTGGAAGCTGGGTGTCAGAACTGTTAAAAGACCCCACTGGAATGAGGCCTCTCAGGCCATAAGCATCTGCCCGGGTAGCCCCTCATGGGCTGTTGCGGAGTTCATACGAGCTGGTGTGGGTAAGTAGAGCCTTCCTGACGTGGCGCAGGCCTGGCCCCCGGGCGTGCTCAGGCAGGGTGGTGGCATTTCCTCTGCGCTCTGACCCAGCGCCCTGCGACTTCCCAGGCAGCAGCAGCACCTGGCGGGGGTGACCATGGGGAAGCGTTACTTCTGCGACTACTGCGACCGCTCCTTCCAGGACAACCTCCACAACCGCAAGAAGCACCTGAACGGGCTGCAGCACCTCAAGGCCAAGAAGCTCTGGTACGACATGTTCCGAGGTGGGTGTTGCCGGCCTGGCGGCCGGGCTGATGAAGCCCTATTCTCCAGTCTTTCTTATCATCAGACAGGGAAACGCTGCGGGCCAGTGACAGTGCTGGTCTGGGCTCTTTGAGGAGCAAAAGAGAGGAGGCCTGGGTTGCTGGCCCCTGGGGCAGATGGGCCCTCAGAAGGGCAGGTGGAAGGCGAGCTCCTTTCCCTGCAATCCTGAGTGAGGGCTCCGTTCTCTGACGCCTTGCCAGGCTCTGGGGACACTGTGGCCACGAAGAAGGCCTCTCTAAGGAGCTCTAAGGAGCTAATGTCTGGGCCCACAGCTGAAAGGTAGGGAAAAGCCAGTGCTCCATCCTGGGCAGAGGGCAAAGTGCCAGCTGCTCTCGGAGCCAAAGAGAGGATGAGAAGGAGCATGGTAGGGACCACGGCTGGCCACAGGGCCGGGGCCAGATCATGCAGGCCTGCGGAGGCCACGGTAAGGGGGATGGGCAGAGGGCAGCCTTTGAAGGGCTGTGGGCAATAGCCACCACGACCAGAGCTACGTTTGATGGCGATGGCCGACTGCTGCCTGAGCAGGGGGCGCAGTAAATGGCTGTCGAATGACTGAGCTGCTTCTGGGAAAGGCTTATGAGGCAAAGGAATTAAGGCCATAAGCACCTGGCACAGGGCCTGGCACCCAGGAGCATTGGCTGGAGGGGAGCTGCTGCTGCTCTGCTGTCTTTAGCCACACTGAGCCGTAGTGAGAGAGGCGCCAGGAGCTGGACAAATGGAGGGGGACTGTGGCAGTGGGGTGGGGTGACCAGGAGCTTCTGGAATGAGCCGGGGCAGGGCCGGTGCTCCATGAGCTGGGGAGCAGGATTCCAGGACAGGGCCCAGAGGCTGGAAGGAAGGAGCTGAGTCCCAGCAGCTCAGAAGGGGAGACAGAGAGTTCCCTGGTCTGTGACTCAGATTCAGGTCACTCACATTTTATTGAGTGCCTGCTGTATGCCAGGTGCCTTCCATGGTCTGTCATTTGCTTTTCTCAGTAACTCTGTAAGGCAGCAGATCTAAACCCTTTGAGTTAGGATCACCTAGAGACCTTAAAATAAAAAACACTGATCCCCTGACCCCCATCCCCAGAGGCAGGTTTGGGTGAGGGAGGGTGGCCAAGCCACTATGGTTGCAAGGGGCTGGGAGTGGGGGCAGAGGGGAATTCAGGGGCGGAGGGGTCTCCCAGGTGCCTCAGAGGCCTCTGAACCTGGTGTCAGGCAGAGGCTCCCTGTACCCCAAATCCAGTAGGGGCTGCGATCTGGCGTGGTGCTAGGCCTCAAGGTTATCTTGGTGTTTGTTCCTAGTCCCAGACTTTCAGCCAAGAACCCTGGCCCCGTGGGTACAGGTTGATTGGAAGAGGGCTATAGAAAAGATGAAACAGTGGGTGCCACGAGCCCCTTCTCAGGGTTCCCAGCGTTCGCTCACATCCCCAGCCATATCCAGTCCTTAAAACAGCACTTCGAGGGAAGCTGGGCAGGCAAGGGAGCCCCACTTACAGGTGGTGACTTAGAAATCCAGAGCAGTGGATCACCTCACCCTGGTCCCCAAGCTGACATATGAGCTCTTTCCCCTTCCTTGGGAGGCTTCCCCAGGGCTCCAGCTCACCTGCACAACCACACAGCACAGTCTCTGCAAGGGCACAGGGTACCCTGCCTCAGCTAGGACTCGAGACCTGCTCTGCTCCCGGCTTCATGGCCTTGAACAAGTCCCTTAACCCTCAGAGGGCTGATGATCCATCTGCCTTGGTCAGGACAGGCATGGGCCCTGGAGCTGGGCTGCCTGATGTCAGTCCCAACGTGTCACTCACTAGCACTGTAGCCCTAACTTTGCCATGTGTAAAACAGCTGTAATAGCCATACCCCCCCTCCCAGGGATGTGACGGGGCTCAGTAATCTCCTGATGACTGTATGGCACGTAAGGACTTACTAAGTAAGAACGATGCTTATGGGTCCACAGAAGGATTGGCCTTGTACCCTTTATCTCATGGCTCATTCATTCGGCCAACACTTGGTGAGCGCTTAGCGTGTCCTTGGCTCCCAGAGAGGCTCTGAAGACTTAAAGGTGAATAAAACAGGGCCCCTCTCCTGTGTAACCTCACACCCCATTACAACAGTGTGTTCTGGGTGGAACCCCTGTCCCACCCAGGCCTCCAAGCCCTGCTGACCTGTCCCTCCAAGCTCCAGCCACACTGACCACCACAAGTACCGTCCCCTCTGCAGGCATGCCTTTCCTGCTGTCCTCCCCACCCCAGACAGTCCTCCAGGACGCCCTCTTCAACTCCTGGGCCAGGTCAGGTCATTTGGCTGCGTGCTGGCTGTTTACCCCGTTTATATCCACATGGATTAGTGTGACTATTGGAGTGGAAGGAAGGACCAGGTCTGACTTGTTCTCCACTAAATCCTCATCCTGGCGCAGCGCCTGGCACACAGGACGCGCTCAGTAAATGTTTGTTAGATGAATATCTCAGTGAACAAGCAAACAAACCCAGGGCAGCAGGGCAGCTGTTGGCTTGGGGAGCTGAAGCGAGAAGGACCAATAGGGTCAGATCATGAGGAGCCTTGAACGCCAGGCGGAGGAGCAGGGCCTGTGGCTGGGGGTTCTCAGTCCTGGGTGCACTTCAGAATCACTAAGGAGCTTTTAGCAATTCTCATGCCCTCCCCTTAGATGAATTACAACAGAACCTGAGAAAGATGGGCTTGGGCTGTGTATACTTTAAAAGCTGCCTAGTGATTCGCCGTGTGGCTGGAGTTGAGAACCACCAGCCAGATGCTGGGCAGCCTGGAACTCTTCTCCCATACTGAGTTACCCCACCAGGGCCCCTTGTCTAAGACTCAGACTCAGCCCCATTTCCAGTTTAGCTGTCCTACCCCAGTGGGGCCCTGGGCAATGTCCACACGCCCTCCACCAGCCCTCCTCCCCAGGGAAAGCCTCTGGCACCAGCTGGGTGGGCTGAGTCTGACAAGTCCAGTGCTGACCCTCTCCCCACGCTGCTGGCCCACCCACGCTCCTGCAGGCCGCCCCGGGAGTAAGTCCTCTGATAGCTAACTCTCGACCCCAGCAGGCCAGCCCTGAGGAAGTGAGGAGCCTCCCTCAGAGTCGGCTACTCACCAGCCACCAGGAAATCAGCAACCACACAGGAAAGGGTGGGGGCTTGAGATGCACAGGCCAGGGTTCAGACCTGGCACTGCCACTTCTTATGTGTGTGCCCCCTTTCCCTGTGTGAACCTCAGTTTTTCCGTCTGCAAAATGGGGATGTTCATGTAAATGGTGGGTTTATGAGGAGGAAATGGAGTCAGAACTGCTCCTGTTTGTTGAGCAGCCACTCCAGAGGCTCTCAGCCCTGGCTGCACATTAGCATCACCCGGGGACCATGATGCTGAAGCCGTTCCCAGCCCCACTTTCCCACAATTCTAATGTGGGACCTCCTCTGCCCTGTGCTCTCTCCATCCGTTATCTTATTAAATGTTGACAGCAGCCCTACCAGGTGAGAATTTTCCTCCCATTTTACATATGGGGAAACTGAGACTTAGAGTTCATCTACCAGTCAGGGCTCGTTAATGAGGAGCCCACCTAACCCCTCACTCCATTTGGACGTGGCCTGGAGAGTATTCGATTGGAAATGCTTGTTACCTGCTCCAGCTGGAAAGTCTGACTTGAGGGCTAAGTAGGAATTTAGTGGTGAGGACTCCATCTTGGAGTAACCAGCAGAGATGTGTTTGACTTCCGAATAAATTTAGGAAAGAAACAAGAAAGTGTAACAGAAAATCTAAACAAAGAAGAGCAGAGGACCCAGGGGGCTCTTAGAGTGAAGGTCAGAAACACCAGGGGAACTATTTTGACTCGGTGACTTTGGAATCCAGTGAAAAGCAATAGCTAACACCATGAAATGAAGCATAGAAGTCAGAAGTCAGGTGGGATAAGGCTTCCAACAGCCATTAGACTTCTGAGGTGGAGGTCATGGTGACATTTGGTGGATGTGGTCCTGTGTACCTGGACTCAGTAGCCCATGGTCTTTCCTTTACCCCAGCAGCCTCTAGAAAAGGCAGCAGATGGACGGGGAAAGTGCACAGCTCAGACCTGGCCTCTCCTTCCTCCAGGGCGACATGAGGGCCTCTGAGTCAGGGCACCTTCCTCACTTGTCTCACTCACTTACAGATTTTGACTGATTGATTCCTTGCCCACCAAGGAGCATACAAGATTTAAACTGTACCTATATGATGAAAGTAAAAGTAGGAAAAATCGGAGGAAACCGGGGTTAAGGTTCATATCCAGAAAGATTGCCAGGAAGTCCTGTTGAGGCCAGTGGCTAGTGTGAGAGGGGAACAGAGGGAGGTGGGGTACAGCCTTGGCCATGGAGCGATGCCTGGGCCCTGGGGTTTACTGGTGGGCTTTTTAGGTTTTTATTTTGAAATAATTAGAGAGTCTCAGGAAGTTGCAAAGACAGTACAGAGAAGTCTTCTTCTGGTACCAAGACTTCAAAAAAAAACACTTCCCAATATGATCTACTGTGCAAAGTTGAGAGTCTCTGACCTCAAACCTGGCCCTGGCCTTTGGCTGGGTCTAGGTGGGGTGGGTGGGGCTGAGGTCACCTGAAGCTCGGATCCCTCTGCCCAGCATCCCTACCTGTGGTCATCCCCTCTTACACTTCTCCGTGGATGAGGACCTCTTTCCTTCCCTGATCTCAGTGGTAGGAAGTGCCTGTGTTCAGCTAAAGTCTGAACCCAGATCCTCTCTCCTCGCAGATGCAGCTGCCATCTTGCTGGATGAGCAGAACAAGCGGCCCTGCAGGAAGTTTCTACTGACAGGTAAAGTGTTCTACTCCGTTCAGGTCCCCCTAGGGACCAGCGTGCCCTGTCTGGTCTGCTTGGTCTTCTGCACAGGCTCCCCCCACCCTCCCGCCTGAGCCCGCTTTGTGGCCTTGGTGTGTCAGCTGACTTGACACAGTCAACAGGGGCCTTGCCAGGGGTTGTGCCTTATGACATCCAGGGCTTGGTCCTCAGCTCTTCAGACCTAGAATGTGATTTTATCAGCTTACCCAGAACAAGCAAGGGCTGGGAGATTGCAAGTAAATCCAGGAGATACTAATAGGTGTAATAGACTGGCTGATTAAGTTAGCCTGGGAGCCTGACCTCCACTGTGCCCGACCTCCACTGTGCCCTCCCTCCCAGCAGGCAGGGCTGGAGACAGGAACAGGCCTGACAATGCCGAGAAGCTCCAGGGTTAGAACAAAGGACGCTGGGTGTTGATTTCACTGCTCAGTACGCAGCTAATAAAGATGCATATAGTTCAAAGAGACAAAAACCTCAGTAAGTGAAGGAGCCAAAGGCAGATGAAAAGAAGGGTAGGAAAAATAAGACAAGGCCAGAAGAATGCTTAGTCTCCTCCATGCTTGCCTTGAGGTCCTGTATACTCTAAGGGTTTGGCCTTGAGTTTCCTAGCAGCCAAGGCAAAGAGGAAAGCCATGATGATTAACATGGTGTAAAAGGGAGCTTAGCACCAAGGAGAGGTACTGCTGTTGGCCTAGGAGAGCGGGGTGAATGGCTGTGCTCCCCTCAGGAGACCATGCTGCCCCTAGAATGGGCACCAGGCCTGCGAATCAGGGGCTGCCATTCCCCATGGGCTGCACCTTGATGCGAACACGCTGCTGGTAGGCAAGGCTGTCTTAGGACACCTCTAGTCTCCTATTATTATGACTTTTTAAATTTATTTATTTATTTATTTTTGGCTGCTTTGGGTCTTTGTTGCTGTGTGCGGGCTTTCTCTAGTTGCGGCGAGCAGGGGCTACTCTTTCATTGTGGTGCGCAGGCTTCTCACTGCAGTGGCTTCTCTTGTTGCGGAGCACAGAGAGGCTCGCGGGCTTCAGTAGTTGTGGCACACGGGCTCTAGAGCACAGGCTCAGTAGTTGTGGTGCACAGGATTAGTTGCTCTGCGGCATGTGGGATCTTCCCAGACCAGGGCTTGAACCCATGTCCCCTGCGTTGGCAGGCGGATTCTTAACCACTGCACCACCAGGGAAGCCCTATTTTTTTTAATAATTTTTATTGGAGTGTAGTTGATTTACAGTGTTGTGTTAGTCCAGGTGTACAGCAAAGTGAATCAGTTACACATATACATATATCCACTCTTTTTTTTTTTTTTTAGATTCTTTTCCCATATAGGCCATTACAGAGTATTGAGTAGACTTCCCTGTGCTATACAGCAGGTTCTTATTAGTTATCTATTTTATATATAGTAGTGTGGATATGTCAGTCCCAATCTCCCAATTTATCCCTCCTCCCCCTAGTCTCCTGTTATTTTGAGAAACATTTTGGTCTCCCCAGTTGAGATTTGGAAAGCCAACCTGGACTTTGGTACCTCCTTGACAAAGCTGCCATTAAAGCCTTTCTGGGGCACAGTCCAGCTACTTGTGCTCTCCTCCCCCCCCACCCCCTGCCATGGGCAGGGGGCACCAAGGCGGGGGTGTGAGGAAGCAGAACCCTCTCAGGGACCCACCCATAGGTAGTCGGGGCTACGGGCCAGGGCAAGGGGAGGTAACAGGAGACAAGCCTGCAGAGGCTTATGGAACCCAATCATGAAAGGCTTCAGTGGACTTTGGTCCCCGGCCAGGGAAGGGCTGTGAGCAGGGCCTAGTGGACCAGACAGGCCATGCTGGCTGCTCTTATGGCTGGGCCAGAGAGAGTCCAGCTTCTTCCTCAGGGCTGGAGTTGCTACTCCTTAGTCCCTAACACCCTGCCCCTAAAACTCTGGTGGCCCCTCATCAGGCTGCCCTTCAGCTCAATGGTAGGAGTCCATCCCGGGCAGCAAGTGACTCTCTCCTCCTGTTGCAGGCCAGTGCGACTTTGGCTCCAACTGCAGATTTTCCCACATGTCAGAGCGAGACCTGCAGGACCTGAGTATGCAGGTGGAGGGTGCGTTTCACTGGGACCCTGGGCTGGGCAGGGGTGGGTGCTGGGGGGATGTAGGGGAATGCTGCCCTGTGTCTCCCCCCTTCCCCCTCTTCTGTGGCTGCCATGTGGGGTAGGCTGAGGGCTATCCAGGGCATCAGGAACTGCTTTCAAACCACCCCAGGCATGAGTGGGGAAGGAGCCAGGGAGCTCCCATCCATGTGCCTGGCTGGGTTTAAAGTGACACGCATGGCTTCCTGTCCAGGAGTCCCGAGGGTGTGCCTCAGCCCCACCTGGGCCCTGCTAGCCTGGCATTCATTCATGTACACCCACCCTCCCTTCCTCAATCAGGCAACGTGTTTGGAGCCCCTATTCGGCCCCTGGCAGATCCCCCACTGCGCTCTGGGGACAAGGGGATAAAGAGAGCACCTTCCCTGCCCTCAGGATGCTCAGGCCTGGGGACTACAGGGAAGGGCAAGTTCAGCTTCCCTCTGGAAACTGGCATGTCTGCCTTTGGGAAATTCACTTCCTACTGCTCCAATTAGAGATAAGGAAATTCCCACTTAGATGGTCTTTATCAATCTTCGCATGCAGCCCCTCACTGAATGGATGGAGAAACTGAGCCTTATGTGAGCCCCCATCCAGTGCGGCTCCTCTGTCCACGTGGCCTCGGGCAGCCAGCGAGCGTCTGGGGTGGCCTGGCCTTCACCCTCATCCACCAATAGGCCTCACTCCCCTCCGACCAGTCAGACCCTGTGGGCAGTGCCCTGCCCTGGGGATCTGATGACAGTGTAGCAGCAGCCCTGCCACAAACACAGGTTTCTAGGAGCTTTCCCAGGGTGGAAGTGAGGCCTTATGGGCCAGGCCAGCGAGTCCTGGTGACAGCTGTATGTCCAGCTCTTCCAGCCATGGTCTCTCAGAGCCTTTGGCTCGTGGTGGGAGAGCGCAGGCTTTGCCCTGTTCTGCAGCCCACACTGCCTCCCTGACCCCAGGTTTGGACCCCTCCTGAGGACCAGGCTCTCAACTGTCCTGTGTCCAACTCCAAAAAGCTTCGGAGGCAGCCAGTGTTTTGCCTTCACTTCATGGGGAAGCAGAGTGAGGCCCAGAGGGGCTACCTGGGGAGGTGGCTGCAGGATGGGGACAGGCCAGAGGACCTGCTCCTGGCCTCCCAGCCCGTGCCTACCCCCCCGCCTCTGGAAGGTTCCAGCTGCTTTGTGAGAGTGTGGGGTTCAGATGGGGGTGAGTATGCCCTTCAGTTGCCTGTCTCTCTATCCCCACAGAGGAGAGGTGGGCCAGGGAGTGGCCACTAGACGTCACCGAGCTCCCTGAGGTCCACGTGGAGGACTGGCTGGAGAAGAGAGCCCAGCAGCTGAGCTCGGCCCCAAGCAGCAGGTACAGGCCCTGTGGGTCCACTTCTCCCATGCCCTCCAGTTGCAAGACCCCAGCCAGCTTGCCCTTGTCTCTACGAACTTCCCAGGGACCAGACACAGGTGCCCCCAAAGGACTCCTCAGGTGGGGGCCACATCGGGAGCTCTTGGGTCCCCAAGCCCTGGCCAGAGGCTGAAGGGCACTTGCCTGAAGGTTCCTGGCCTAGGCCTCATCCCCCTGCCTTAGTGGAGTCTGCAGTGGCTGAAGGGGGCAGGTGGCCAAGCCAGCTTGACTCCACATTACCAAGTCCATTGCCAGAGGGAGAGGCCTGACTGTGGTTACTGAGGCCCCAGAAAGCCAGTCACCGCACTGTCCCCTCTAGGCCCTGCCAGATAGGCATGGTTGCTCCGACCCTGCAGAAGGGGAAGTGAGGCTCATGGGATGATGTGACTTGTCCAAGGGCACACAGCTCGGAGCAGGCACAGCTGGGATTGCACAGGCATGTGACAGGCTCTTTGTCATTGTCCCACTGCCTCCTCGAGGAGGGGGCTGGGGTGGGGCTGGCCCAGCTGCTGCCTGGGCCCAGCACTCAGGACGCTCATAAGTGGACAGGGTGCGCTTTACCCCTTGTATGGGGAGCACCCTGGGTCAGGAGCCCACAGGTGTGTGCTGTGTGCCGTCCCAGGTTCTCCTCTTCAAGGTCACAGCCAAGACCAAAGCCAGGGCTCCTGGGGTCTTCTACCAGGTATTGAAAGAGAGAGAAGGGAGGAAAAGGGCTAAAGGATGTGCCTGTGACCTGCCTGACTTGGTAAAGTCACCCCGTGCTGGGCTGCCTCCTTTCCTGTCCTGCACTGGGACCCGGTGGCCTCATGGGACAGCAGCCTGGCTGGGACAGTCTGTGGGAGAGGTGAGGTTTCCCTTGAGGCTCCGCCAGGAGATGAGGGCCAAGCTTCTTGCCTTCTCCGTGCCTCAGTGAGGAGAGCTTGTTAAGCTATTTTAAAATTAACTTTAATTGTTTTTAAATCTGTGCCCAGTTTGTCCTCCGACCTTGAAAATATATAGTACAGTCATGACTCCTGTGTTGGAATGTGACATCCCTTCCGTCTGGTCCTGTCAGAAGTGGTTGTGATCTTGGTAGTGTGGGCACCTCCCTCGGGACTGGTCCAGGGACCCATGTCCTGCACCCCAGCTCGGGGCTGAGGCCACTCAGAGAACTCTGGGGGCTTCCCCGCTCCCCCACTCCCTGGACCCAGCTGCCTCCCTGCTCCGCCACCACAGTTCCTCTGCTGGGAGTGAGCCCCAGAGGCCTGGGCACCCCCTGGGCTTGTGCCGAGGGCTCAGGGAGACCCTGTGGCTGGGCTGAGGGGGCGTGGGGGTGGGTAGAGATGGGTGCCCTGAAGTCCCTTCCTAGGGATAGATGTGTCCCTGTGCTCTCTAAGGCAGCGTGCCTGTGACCATGAGACTCAGAGGACTAGGGCACAAGATGGAGAAACTGAGGCTGAATGACGGGCCCAGAGTCGCAGGAAGAGTGGTGACCACGTGATAATCAGGTGTGTTGGTGCTGTGGTGTGCCCGGCACTCAGCCCCAGCCTTTAGGGGGGTTGGTGCCCCCGGTTTGTAGCTGAGGAATCTCTTCCCCTCCAGGAGGTTGTGACTGCCTTGGTCACACACCTACTACCCTTAGCAGCACTCAGCTGTCACTTGAGAGAGAGCTTAGGTCCCTGCCCTGGCTTTGGACCCTGGGCCACTTCTGTTACCAGGTCTAGGGCTGGCCAAGGGCCAGTGCAGTGGTTGGCCACTGCAGCCGGAAGTCTGCAGTGGTAGTGGCAGTAGCCGGCTGCTGGGATGGCAGTGACTGGAATAGAGCTTGCCGCTGGGGACCACCCTAGGCTGAACCCTATCCCCTGGGCTCCTCTCCCGCTGACCACCCAACCTGGCCCCTTCCAGGGGACCTGCTTTTCCACTTGTTCTCTGTGCCTTTGCACAAGTCCACCTGCCTCCTGAGGGCTTGGGGCCAAAATGAATTACTCTCTGGGCAGAGCAGGCCAGTCCAGCCTTGAGAAAAGGAGGTCGTTAGGAGGGAGGTGACCATTTATCATTGCTTTTGCCATCACAGCCTCGGTCTTCCTCAGCCCTCTCCCCTCAGGTTGGTCTCATGAAAAATGATACCCACCCCCTGCAGCCCACAGGCTTTGGGCTCTGCCCTTGCGTCCCTGGCCCCCACTCCGCGGGGTCAGGGGGGTGGATTGCAGCCAGGAGGCTGCCTCTCTCTGTTCCCTGAGTCTACCATCAAGGCAGCCCTGTGGCAACAGTGCCCTCTCTGCCCTTCACCCACCCTGGCTCTCCTAGACGTCACGGCAGCCCTTCCTGGTCTCCTACCTGCCTCTGCTCCTCCAGTCCATCCTCCACACAACAGCCCCAACCAGCTTCTAGAACACTCCCTGGCCCCGGCCCTGCTGAAACCCTCCTGGGCTTCCTCCCCGTCGGGGGGACCCGGACTCCACAGCCCAGTTTGCAGGGCCCCGGAGAACTTCCCTGCCGCCTCCACGGCCCTTGAGGGTCACCTTCTCACCTCTCCCATCTGGCCTCTTTGTCAGTCCCGCCGGACGCCTGGCAGCTGGTTAGGTGTGGTGGGGCGTTTCTGATTTGCGGGCACCTTGTGCACACTATTTCCTCTGCCTGGAACTGCCCCACCACCACCACGTCTGCCTGGCAAAGTCAGACTCATCCTTCAGGCTTTAGCTGAGACATCTCCCCTTTCTCCCCTTCCACCCCCGGGCCTCCCGCTCACGGCCCTGAGCTCACACTGTCATCAGCCTGGTGCAGACCCAGGACATGTTGGCTGCATGAGAGAGCATTTGGGGGAGCAGGGTCCCGGCCTGCAGGACTATTCCTGAGTATTAGTGCCGTGGGCGCCTCGTGGGGACGGGTCTGGTGGCCCCTCTTCCTCTCTGGGTGTCTGTGTCCTCCCCCCAGGACACAGGGCAGAGATGGCTGCCTGGCCCACCTGGGGCCACCCAGACCCGAGGGCTCTGACCTCACAGGCTGAGCGGAGCCCTCAAGGTGAGCCAGGCTAACCATCCTTGTAAAGGGGAGATGGAGGCTCAATGGGGCCCCAGCCTGGTGCATTGTCCCACCCCTCACCCCCCCACCCCCCCACACCCTCCCCGTGCCCCAGCAGACCGACCCTGAGGCACCTGCTGGGAGCAGACAGTAGGGGGAGGGAGGGGCCAGCCTCAGGTGAGCAGGCTGATCCCTGCGAGGCCAGTGCTCGCCCCTGCTTTCCACTGTTGGCTCTTCAGGTTGTGACTTTATCCGTCTTAATCTTCCCCTTTGCACCCCTCTCAGGGCTGGTGCTACTGTTCTGGCCCAGGTGCCTCCCTAAGACTCTCTCCTTCTAATTAGGACCATAGCTGGGGACAGGTGAAAGAGAGCTGCCCTGTCCCTGTGACGGGGCAGACAGGCCAAGAGAGAAGCCACGAGCACAGTCCTACGCACCTGTGTCCCCGTCTGCTCCGTGCAGACTGGAGGGGTGTGCTCCAAGGCCTCAGGGCCCGCATGTCTGAGGCCCGGGGAACGCACCCTTCTCCTGGCGGGAGGCCTCAGCTGCCCGGGAGTCTGACCCGTGTCCTAGAGGAAGGGCCTGAGGCTCACAAGAAGGGGCTCCCCGATGGATCACACCCTCTCAGGAGAACTGCGGTCACCCCAGCCCCACGGGGAGCCGGGGCTTGGCTGGCAGCTGGGGCTCTCCCTTCCAGCAACTGCGGAGCCTCCTCCATTCCCACCCTTCTCTGCGCCTGGTGGAGTTTATAAAATCTCCCCGGCACCATAAATCATGCTGGGAGCCGCTTTCTGTGCTTTCCAGTGGGCAGCAGGCTGCCGAGCAGGGATTCCCCTGTCCTCGCGCCACGGGAGGCCCCAGAGGCTGCACCGGGGCTGCCTGAAGCCCTTGCTCTGGGTCCGACAGCAGGTCAGGCCCAGGAGGGGTGGCTGGTTGAGGCTTCAAACCTCTCAGTGGGCCTGGGACGCTCCCGTCCTGCAGAGGCCTGGCCACTGGGCCCCTGAGCCTGCCAGGGCCTCACCTTCACTGAAAGTGGGACCTGGGGGTGGGCTGGGCTGGGCTGGGGGCAGAAGCATGAGGGGCCAACATCTGGGGCCCACGTGTAGGTGGCATTCCGGCCTCTCACCCCCCATTCTAGACTGTGTCGCTTGGGCCCGTGACTGATTCCATGCACCTCAGTTGCCTCATCTATAAAATGGGGTTCAGTAAGGATTCTTGAGGTTCCTCTCGGCTGTGCTGTCTGGCGCAGAGTAGTATCCAGGCAGTAACAGCGCTCAGCATGGCTGTTTGTCATCAGCAAGCATTTACTGGGTGGCTCCCTGTGCCAGGCCCGGCTCTGGGCACTGCGGGAGCAGATGGACGCCACCCCATCCCCTGGTCTCTCCCACTTGGAGAGCTCCAGTCCTACAGGGGCGACGTGAGCTCCCAAGTGAGTTCAAGGTAGCCTGAGGGGCAGAGCAGCCCTGGAGCGGCAGTCTGAGTGGGGGTCGAGTCCAGAAGGATCGGAATGTGGAGCAGTTGGTGGGGAGGCTGCCTGTGCGCCTCAGCGGCTCCCTTAGGACAGGGCCACCCCGGGCTGAGCACACAGGGTGGGTGCTTCAGATAGGCCCCGGGCCTTAGGAGGTGGCTCCTGGGGCGGTGGACCTTAAGGGGAAGGGGAGTAAGTAGCATGAGAAATAAGGCTTTTAAAAAATTTTTAGACAATATTTTTTTCTCATTTCAAAGGCTTGCGTGCTTGAAAAACTTTCTTGAAAAGTATAAAGAAGTAAAAAAAAATCACCCATAATTGCACCGCTCAGATAGAACCACTGTTAACATTTTGCTGTGTCTTCCAGGTTTTTTTTTATGCATTTATATATGCTATATATCTTTAAACAAAAATAGTATCATGCTATATACATTATTTTATAAGCTGCTTTTTCTCCCTACTCACACGGTATTATACATCATGACACCTTTCCTCGTCAGTGCATATAAGTTTGCCTTAATTCTCACGCAGGCTGCATAGCATTCTCTGCTGTGGACGTGCATATATATTTAATTAGTCCCCCAGAGGTGGACACTTAGGTTATTTCCATTTCTTATAGCTCAGTCTCTGCCCACAGCCCCCCTATTTCCTTGCGCTCAATCCTAGAGGTGAGGTGGCTGGCTCAAAGGGTCTGCGTGTTTCTGAGACTCTGCCTTCCAGAAAGGTGATACAGGCAGCTGCCCCTGCCCACAGCTGGGGTGGTGGGGAGGGTGAACTGGAGGGGGGTGCCCCCGCCTGGGCCTGAGCTGTGCTCCACACTAATTCTCTGTTCTTTTCTTTCCCTCTAGGGCTGAACCCATCAGAGCCACCATCTTCCAGTACCCGGTGGGCTGGCCACCAGTCCAGGAGCTTCCTCCATCCCTGCGGGCACCCCCGCCTGGGGGCTGGCCCCTGCAGCCCAGCGTCCAGTGGGGCTGAGTCCCTTATCCCTGCCTAGTCAGCCCTCCAATCAGCCACAATAAAGATAAGGGCTTGTACGGGGGAACCCAGGCCCCCTCCTGCTGCACCCCATGGAGCATCTGAAACTAAAGACCGGACCTGGCCTGGCCTCTCTGAGGCCTAAGTGTCCTCCCCAACCAGGTGCAGCCCTGATCCTGGCTCTGAGCCAGGCAGCTCCACCACCCCCACCCCAACGGGACATCTTGAGAAGACTTCCTTCCAGATGTTTATAAAGAAGGTCCGCCACCACCATCGTGCGGCTGTTCTTGCCCCTTGCCTGGCGCCCTCAGCTCCGTGCTCTGGCCCTGGGTCAGATGATGGGCAGGGCTGGAGTGAGGTGAGGTCCTCTCCAGGGTGACCGGTGCCTGCTGCCCTTCTCCCTTGAGAGCCGGCAGAGGCTCAGCACAGCCGGGCAGCGGGCAGCCAGCGTGGCTGTGACTCGCCCAGGCGTGCAGTAGCCCCAGATCTGGGGAGGAGAGCTGAGCACTCAGTCTGCCGTCCTGGCCCCCACATCAGCCCGTGCTGAGCTGCTGCCCAACCGTGAGATGGCACAGCTGGGGCAGGGATGGGAGCCGGGTCTCCAGCCTGGATGGTGTGGAGAAGTGGGCGACCCAGGAGGACGGGCCCTGAGCTTGGGAGAGTGGCCTGGCTGAACTTCCTGGCACTGACACCAGGGGTGGCTTCTGCCCTGGAGGAGCCCCCCAGTCGGTAGGGAGACCACATAGGTTGCTCAGGGGATTCGCAGCCTCTGGGCCCCAACTCTGCTTCCTGCCTCCACTGCACTCCACTGTGCTGGGGTGCTCGTGGGCAATGTGGCCCTCAGGTCACTGGGCCTCTGGTGGGGGGCCCAATGGATGAGGTGGCAGCTGGCACCTCAGATGCTCCATCTTCTGTGAGCTTCTGCCCTGCCTAAAAATCACCATTGATGGGGGAACTGAGGCCAAATCTGGGAGCCCTCTGAGCCTCAGGGTCCTCATCTTTGAAATGGGCTGATTCTCTAGCCCTAGTGGGTGTGTGGAGGAGGGCTGGGTTTGAGTCTAAGGAAGGTCAGAGGAAGGGATTCAGCAGAAGGCCGGGGGCTTCCTCAGGCCATGCCAGGGAGAAGGGCCCAGGAGACCCCAGCCTCATGTTGCCCTCCAGGAGGAGGCTTTCTGTCCCCTGCACTCCCCTCCATGGCCCTGGGCAGACCTGAGGGACCAGGGTTGGGTTGGCTATGTGGCCCTGGGCACACAATGCCTCCTCCTGCCCAAGGGACCTGCAGCTACTGGGCCCTGTATAAATTCCTCCTTAATTTCCCAGGAGCCCCTGCACAGCGAGAAAAGTTAGTGCTACATACAGGCCAGGGTGGGGCAGGGCAGGGTGCAGGCAGGGCCAGGGCCAGGGCCGTCCTCAGAGCCACCACCAGGCCCTCTGCAGCTGGGCCACAGCTCCATGCAAGGCCTGTGGGGCGGGCGGGGTGGTGCCGCTGGACGCCCAGGCCCTGAAGTACACGCGGTGGCGGCCCAGGGAGTTGGTGGAGGGAGAGGACTGTGGGCGGCGGTGGGTGTGGAGGGGGCCCCACGCACTGCGCGCCCCATGGGGCGCCCAGGTGGCGCCTATTTCATGCCGCTGCGCAGCACCTGGTTGGCTGCGATGAGCATGACGCTGATGATGAAGGCGATGGCGAAGGCGCAGATCAGGCTCTTGCGCACACACGTCTGACGGATCTGCTGGTTGGAGCAGGCTGTGGCCGCCCGCCGCCGGGGAGCACCAGAGAGAGAAGGGGACAGCCAAGTGACGGACTCAGGGGCCGTCTGCCCTTCTGCACATGGGCTTGTCCCGCGAGGCACACGGGGACGCAAGGTTTGGGGCAGGCAAGGAGGCCCCCAGCCCCCCTCTGCAAGCCCCTGGTTCCTCCCCTGCCCGAGCAGTTGGCCCGCCCGTGGGGTCCCGGGGTGGGTCACTCACTCTCCACGTCCACGGGGCACTCCTCCGCTGTGCCTAGGTGGCTCTCCTCCTCCGTCATGATGATGTTCTCAATATCCTTCATGGACAGGTGCTCACAGAAGGTGTCGTAGAGCAGCCGCTTCAGCTCGTCCACGGTCAGCTTTTGCATGTCACACTTGGGTGGGGGGAGACACAGCGCTCTGGCCACCAGCACCACCACAGTCCCCCCCGCCCAGCACCTGCAGCCACACAAGCCAGTGACAAGCCTCCAGATTCTGGAGGGCTGGGAACCACTCACTCCATTCTCTGAGTCCTCGACCAACACCAGCCTCCCCAGGGAACCCCATGGCCCGCTGGGAGACAAGACGTCCAGTGGACAGAGCCTGGGGGTGTCATCCCCCCCTTTATGGTGTGGGCCCGACCCTTCACTGGCCCAGTACAGCCCTTCACTGTGCACACAGCCCTGGGTCCCAATCAGCCAGGGAGTACCTTCCAGAAGACGGTGTCGAAGTCAGTGCCGTGGAATTTCTCTGGGATCCCTGAGGTGGAGAGCTTGGGTCCCAGAAGGGTCACAAACTCCTCGAAGTCCACTTGGCCATCACCTAGAGCGGGCACAGTTCCAGTCAGCTGGTGAGGCTGCACCTGGGCACCTTGGGCCACCATGGGAACTCAGGGAGGTCCCCTCCTCAGAGCCTGATGTGCCAGTCTCTGGGCTGATGCTGAAGCCACCGCGTGTGCTGAGGCCCCACCTGACAAGGTGGGGAGTGTGGGGGGGCGCACAGCAGGTGGGCCCTGAGCAGGCCTTGCGTGGGGGAGACGCGTTTCCCTCTGAACCCTACATGGCTTCCCAGCACCCTGCTGCTGTCCCGGAGCAGATGTGGGGCCGGACATCCTCCCCACCACACAGACAGGAAATGAAGCTCAGGATGGGGGACCGCCTGCCCAGGTCATCACCTGCTCTCTGGGTGGAGATGAGGTGGGGGAGGCAGCCAGAGGAGGATGAGCGGAGGGCACTGGGCATTACTGGTTCTTATGAGTTTTTCCTTGATTAAATGCCAGGTGGCAAATATTTACAACTAAATTGACTTTTTATTTTTGGTGATGGGAAAAGGGGTATTTAGTATATCCGTTCTGCTTTCCTGTACTTTAAAAATTTCTTGGAACACAGTGAGAGGGGCAGAATCTCCAACCTTTGGGTATGGCTGGGGCTGTCACATTCTCTCTAGCCTCAGTTCTCCAGGCTGAGAAATGGGGCCAGACCTGGCTGCAAACCCAAGCCATGGGCTTGGAAGGCTGGCTGGGAGTGGGGAGAGTGAGAGGCCCCCTATGGGCTCAGGCCCCAGACTTGCCCCCCACCACCAGGTGAGGGGTGAGGAAACAGCCAGGGGGGCAGGGCTCACCATCCATGTCCAGCCGCTGGATGATAACCTCCAGCTCCACCTCGTTGGGCATGTATCCCAGGGAGCGCATGGCCGTGCCCAGCTCCTGCTTGGAGATGAAGCCATTGCCATCGCGGTCGAAGACTTTGAAGGCCTCTCGGATCTCTGTGGGAGGAGCAGAGCAGGTCAAGACCTCACTCCTGTCCCCGACAGCCCACTCCCCAGACCTCCAGGATCCCAGATGCCACATCCTGAGACCGGGATGGAGAATCCCCCCTTCCCCTCTAGAGCCCGAAGGTCTGGTCAGAGAGAACTAGCAGGTGGCTCAAGAGTCCACTACAGCGCTACCTCCCTGGAGCTCAGGCCAAGCAGGCAGCAAAGGTGCCCAGGCCCCGCGGCAGTGACAAGACCGCCCCGGGGGTCTCCGGCTCCGCGTGCCAGGCTCCCACAGCCTCTCCAGGCGTGCTCACGACGACCCCGTGTGGCCGATACCACGGGTCCCACGGTGCAGGGGAGGACGCCGGGCTAGGCAGCCGGTCTTCTGTGAGCTGCCGAAGGCTTCCCTGCCTACCACGCCCCCTCCATCCCCCTCCCATCATCCCCATCGCACTTCCTCCCCAGGCTCAGCTCCTTAACACCAGCCAGCACTCATTAATGGCGGCTCCAGGCTAATGGGCTGACAGCTCAGTGCAGACTGCCTCCCAGATGGAGCCCAAGGTTTGGGGGAAGAGAGAGGAGGGCTGGAGCAGCCCCAGGCCAGCTCAGGTGCGGGGGGTCACTCCCCCCCATTGTATGGAGGGGGAGACAGGCCTGAGGACCTGGGTGACTCAGGGGTGGGGAGCAAGGCACTGGGCTGGGAGCCTGGGAACAAGCAACCCAGTGAGTGACCTTGGGCCAGCCTCAGTCTTACCCACAGTAAAATGGGCGGTAATGGTGTAAGGATGAAAGGGTTTTACCAAGGACATCCAGGAACTGTTGAGGGTTGAAGGGTCCTAACCTCTCCCCAGTTCACCCTTTTTTCACCTCTTTTTCTCTGTTTGCTGTCCCTTCATTGTTACTCAGCCCAAGAAGGGTCCTACAGAACATTTCCCGTTGATGGGGAGTGAATTTCAACCCACTCCCACCCTCTCTGCTCCAGCTCCCGGGGGTCTCCTTGTTCAATTCGCGGGCAGAGGTGAGCTCACGTGCGTGCGTGCGAGCGTGCGTGCGTGCGTGCGTGCGTGCATTTGGAAGGAGAGACAGATGAGATGCTCCACGCTGCCTGCCTGGAAAATGAGGCCCAGAGAGGCTAGGTGGCCAGTGTGGGGTCAGGGCTGTTTCTGGTGAGGGCAGGAGTTAGGCTGGCCCAGGCCTGGCCTAGAGGGTCTGTGAGCCCCTGAAACTGACTGTGGGATCCTGCACCTTGGGGTCATCCCCTGATTCTGCTGGACCCACTATAGCCCAGAGAGGGTGGCCATGTGTCCCAAGCCACACGGCAAGGTGGCTTGGGCTGAAGCCCCAAACTTCATCAGGCTCTTCCCACCTGGCATCTATAGCCAATGCCTGGAGGTTCCAGTTGACATGCAGGCCAAGACAGAGTCAGTGGGCCACACCTGAGTTGCCTAGGCCCCCAGACCCTCTGACTCTGGACCACCCCCTACCCATCCCAGGCAGGTCCTGAGAACCTGGTCTCCTAACCAGTGGCCCCTTGGCCAGGAGAGCAGCTGGGAAGGGAGATCTGGGCCAGGCCCAGAGGCTTCTATAAACCCTGGACTCTGGGAACTCCAGGCCAACTCCCACCTGAATTTTCCAGGGCCACGGAGGAGGTAGTGAGCTCCCCATCCCCAGAGGTGTGTGAGCAGAGGCCCAGCAGTTACAGAGGCTGCTGAGGGAATTCCAATCACCTGGGAGTCTTTGGGTTCAGAGGAGGGCACTGACCATGCAGCCAGGCACACCCTCTGCCCAGCCCTCCACACACACACTTAGGTTTCTGGCTGGCACTGTTGGCCTCCTGACCCAGCCATGGGCTCTGCCCACCTCAGTCATGGTGGGTACCAGGGCTGCTCCACCTCCAGGCCTTTGTATATGAGGCTCCTTTTGCTTGGAATGCTCTTCCCTTCACCATGGTGAATTCTGATACATCCCTGGTTCCCAGCGTGGATGGCATCACTTCCCTGGAGCCCCCCCTGCCCCCCCAGCTGACTCTGGCCCTCCTCTGGGCTCCCACAGACCCCACTCTTCCCCCAAGGATTCCTTCCTGACCACATCAGATTGTGAACTATGAGGCGCCATGAGAGCAGGAGCCAGGTCAGTCTTGTTCACCGCTGTGTCCCCGCTCCCTGGAACGGTGCCTGTCATTCAAGCATAACCATTTGCTAATAAGTGGTTAAGTGAATGAATGACTGATTCAGGGAGCCCACCCATCTGGAGCACACACACAAAGGAGCTGACCAGAAGTTCATGCTCCACTTGGTGTGGGGTCATCGCTCAGAGCCCATTTACCCTTAGTTTACAAATGATCCTAGTAAGGGCAGGCGTTTGCTTTCTACTCCCCAAGCAGGCAAGAAGCAGAAAGGGAGGCTGAGGATGCCGCTTGTCCCCTTGTGCAGTCCCTAAGGACCCCCTCACTTCATGGGCCACCCAGAGGAGGGGGATCAAGCCAAAGTCAGGGGTGGGGGAACCATCCTCAGACCCACCCAGGTCAGGGGCTGGTTTGGGGAACCCAAGGCAGGCACCCCATCCTTCTGGGTGCTTGGTCGGGAGAGCTCAGGGTGGGATGGCAAAACCCTGGACCTGCAGTGGGTGCTGGCTCTCCCCTGCAATGAATTGGGGTCCAGGCTGTCCCTCCCACACTGACAGGGGCCAGGTGTGGCTCCCGGAGCCCAGGGCTGCTTCAACTGGAGCCCCTGATCTCCTAAAAGTCCTGAGAAAATGCACAGGAGACAGTGGAGGGCAGGTGAATCTTGGGGTCCGTGGGCAGGCGACAGGCCCAGGGGCAGCCCTTTCTCAGGCAGGACTAACCTTCCAAGACCACTAGATCAATCCAAAGACCGCCACCTCCTCATTCATGTGTCGCCTCAGCCACTCCTCCCTGGCACGCCTGGCTCACAACCTCAGTCTTACTCTGTGTCCTCGCCCTTGCTCAGAGCTGTGACCCAGCACCAGCTGATTTCTGAGGCCAAGTTCGGGGATCACCTTCTCGGCCAGAGAATCAGCACTAAGTCACACAGATTCAGGGTCAGAGCCCAGCTCTCCCACATCCTGGTCGGGTGCCTTTGAGTGGGTGTTTGCTCACCTGTACAATGGGGCTGCGGAAATGACTAAATAAGAAAATCAAGCATGTAAGTGCTTGGCTGGGGCTGGGCCTGGCTCAGAACACGATGCTATAAATCAGAACATCCCAGACGTTCTGGCAGAGCCGGAAGGAGAGGGAGGACTAGGGGAGCTTCAAGCACCAGGCCGGCCTTCCTGTTTGCTGGTGCCAAGACTCGGGGGCCCGGGCTTGAAGTCTGGCTTTGCCACTCAGCAGCCGAGTGACCTCCCTCTCTGAACCTCAAGAGCCTCGCCTGTGAGATGGGAACGTGACTCTTGCCCCATCTCTGAAGCCTGGACTCTGCTGGGGGCTCCCAGAGTGGGGTGGGTGTCCTGTTGCTGCTGCCGCCATCGGCACATCCCAGCTGGGCACGCTTCCCCGAAAGCCTCACTGTGTTCGCTCCCCACGAGGCCAGGGAAAGCCTGCCGTGCTCCACGTTGGCATGGGGAAGCCTGGCCCAGGCAAGGGCTGGCAGGGCCTCTGGGTTTCCGGGCCGACACTGGTCCCTACCTGCCACCTCCAGCCTGACGCCCTCAATCCCCTCCCCGGCCCAAGAAGCTGCGTTAGGGCCTGAGTCCCCAACCGCCCCCAAGGGATGCCAGCACTGTCAGGGAGCCAGAGTCCAGAGAGGGGGTGCGTGGGCTGGAGGTCACTTTGAGGGGGGCAGTGTCTGTCCTCTGCGGCGACAGCCACTCTCTGCGGCATTGGCCCCGCACCCCAGCACTTTGGCCTCCCTGAGATTCCAGCCTGACAGAGGCGGCTGCTGGGCTCGCAGAGAAGAGGGGCAGGAAAAGGGACTCCTCTGCCCCCCCATACCCCGAACGCCCCCGTTTGGCCACTCTCATTGCAGGCTCCACCATCTGACTGAGCAGGTCAAGTGTCAAGCCCAGACCTCTGCCCTGGTGGTTGTCTGCCTGTCCGTCCGTCTTCCTCCTCCCCTCTCAGAGGGAGGGCCAGTCTAGGGCTTGCAGCTGCCCCAATTCCCACCCTCAGGTGCTCAAGCCCGTCGATGCCACTGGGGTCAGCCTCAGCACTGCCACAGGCCAGGGGAGCTCTGCTGTGTGCATCTCAGGGAGAATCTGGGAGATCCTGTACCTCCACCTCAAGGGAGGCTGGAGGACCCAGACCAGCTCTGCCGAGCCACGTCTACCCTGCCAACTGCCATCCAGGGGTCCCCAGGTGCCTCTGCCAGACCTTCAAGGCCATTTCCACCCACCCTCTCCCCCAGCCTGCCTTTCTGGCCTGGCCCCCCTGCATATCCTGTGTTCCTTCCTCATGGGCCTTCCCTGACCCCCACCCCTCAGCCTCCCTGCTACTGCGTCCCGGTCCCCGAGTCCCCACTGCATGCCAGGCCCTGTGCTGAGCACTTTCATCACATCCTCTGTCACTGGCAGCCCTGGGGAGGGGCAATGTCAACCCCCTTTTACAGATGGAGAAACCGAGGCAAGAGAGGCAAGTGATTGCCCAATGTCACTCCATAAATTGAGGGAGCAGAGAACTCGGACCCACCACTGCTTGGCTAGGAAGCCCTCACCTTAACCGGTGCTCTCCACCTCCCTCCCTAGTCCTCCTCCCCCCTCGGACTCACCACCCCCTGGATTTCTGCAGGCAGGCACATACTGTCTGTAGCATTTCATCCCAAGCTACCGGGCTCCCTCTCCTCGGCATGTGTGGCTCCCCCAGTGATGGGCATCCTCCCAGCAAAGAGCCTGGGCCTTACCCACACTACCCTGGGGCGGGAGCACTGATGAGGCACTGGGGAGGTGGAGGGGGCAGAGGGGGGATCTGTGCTGTGGATGGTCACCCTTCCCACCCACCCCTGGCACTCAAGGCCCACTGGGGCCTGCAGAGACTTGGTCTCCTAGGAGAAGGGCTTCCAGAGTGCCTGCAGCCAACAAGGGGGCCGATCACAGAGGACTTCCTGTCTTCATCCATGGCTGCCCGCAGGCCGGGAGATGGGCTGGGGCCACCAGGCATCTGCTTGCTCCATGACGCCCCCCCCCCGCCCACCCCAGGGAGGGCTCTGTCCTTCAGATGCCCCCTGTGCCAGGTCCTTCTGCTTCACAGGGCCCAGGAGAAGTGGACAGGAGAGAAGCAGGGAGTGCGTTTTGGTGTGGCTGGTGACTAACGTTCCTGGGCTCCTGCCAGCATGTCCGCCATGCGGTCCAAGGGGAGCCTGCGGCCTCTTTGCCCCTGGACTGCCCGCCCTGTGCCCTGCTCACCCCTGCACCCCAGCCTCCTCAGCTTCTCCCCTTCCTTGGGGTCTGTACTCCAGGGCTGGGAGATCAGGAGAGGAGGGACAACTGAGGCCCATAGCAGGGCTGCCAGGGTCATGGTGGGGTGCTGGGAGCAAGGGGAGGGAATGAGGGGAAAGCTGCCGGTGTAGGGGGACAATGTTTACCCTTGCCCGCGTAGCCAGGAGGAAGGTGTGGGTGAGGGTCTGTGGAGGGGAAACTGGTAGAGGTTTGCAGTGGCCCAGGGCAGGAGAAGACAGCGTTAGGGAAGAGAAGCCTATGCCCATCCCCGCCCTCTTGTCCCTCATCATACTCCCTCCTTTTCCCAAGCCCTGGATGAGACTTTTTGTTCCTGGGCTTCGGCCGAGACAGGGCAGGGACTTGGGCTTTGGAATTCAAGGCCAGAGACCCAGTAGCGGCACCCATCCATCCGTCCTGCCCACCTCAAACATCAGGCTCCATTTCCATGGCTCTCCCAACCTCTGGAGGCTTTTGGGGGGACTTGCTGAGAAGCAGGCGGCTCATAGTTTGTGGTGCAGTGCGGGGGTGGGGGTGGGGTGGGGTGGGGGTAGCTGCCTTCTCCCCTTGATCTTCCCCCTGATCCCATCTGACTCCCCCAGGATCTGCTCCCTCCAGGGCTGGGGGATGAGGCTGGATCTCTCTCCATGGCTTGTGCTCCCACCATCATCCCTGACTGCGCTGGTGTCTCAGCTGCACCCCCCAAAGGCCCTGTTGAGTCCCAGATCACAGAGACCCCTGGACCTAAGGTACCTGAAGAGAGGCCCAGCTTCTGGGTGATCGCAGCCCCTCCCCCAACAGCAGACAAGCAGATCCCAGGGGGCCAAGACTCCCATCAGCCCAGAGCCCCTCACTCCACTCCATATGGGACCCCAGGAGGTCTGGGGGGAGGGAAAACCTGAGCACCTGTCCTTAGCCCAGTAGGGAAAGAGCTCACAGGCCCCAGGGGTCTCATCGCTCCTCAGAAGCCTCTGTCTAGGGACCCTGGCCTCTGCCATCTGCTCTGATCTCGCCTAGCCTGCTGCCTAAGGTCCCCATTCATGTCCAGAGGTGGAGGGACTCCAGGGGGACAGATTTAGGTCCCGGCCTCTCTGCCTTTCCCTACCAGGCTTGGTTATCTCAACCAAGCCGCCCAATCTGGCCACTTGTTGTCGCCACCACCTCCCGGGCCGCCTTCCTGGCGCTCCAGGCTGGGGGTCCCCGCAGGGCTGTAGGGAAGGGGCTACGGCCGTAAGAGGGGCTGCGGACATCCCGGGAGCCGGCAGGAGCAGGGCAGTCGCCCTCTCCCCTTCTCTCGCTGCCCGAGCAGACTGGATTTTAAAAGCGACACGAGCGGAATGTCAATGCCAGCGCAGAGCCGCGGGCGGCCGCCGCGGAGGGGATCAAGATGCGGGTGCTCTGGCCGGGCCGGCGGAGGGGACACAGCTCAGACCCCCAACCCAACCCGCCGCGTTGCCGCACCGTCACCGCGGATTGCGCGGCCCCGTGACCCCGCTGCAGGGCCCGGCAAGTTTCCGCAGCGCGGGGGACCACGCGGGCAGGGGCTGGGCCGCCCCTCCGCCTTGGCGACCCCCACCGCGGCGCCCAGAGGTGCGAACTCGTCCTGCCTCCCCGCGCAGCTGTTCGCTGGAGTGCCCACCTGGCAAGCGGCACCTGCAGACAGCCCCCCGCCCCTGCGCCCCTAGACCGCGCTTCACCTGGGCGCACAGGTAGGAGGGCCAGCGGGCGGAGGTCCCGGCGGGGCACTCACCCTCGAGCTCGTCCTCAGGGATGTCCACGGGGCGCTGCTCCGACAGCAGGTTGGGCACGGTGTAGATGCCCCGGTACATCAACGCCGCCGTCACCGGGTGGAACGGCATCTTGGAGGCTCCGCGCCCGCCCGCCCGCCGCAAACTTTGAGGTCGGGGCTCATGGGCCGGCGGCGGCCCCGGGGGCGGCTGGAGCGGGCAGGGCGCGCGGCTGCGGAGGGCGGCCCGGCGGCGGCAGTGGCGGCGAGGCGGGGGGCGCCCCTCCGGGGGCCTAGCGCCCCCGCGCCCCGGGCCGCCGGTCCATGCCGTCCCCTCCCTCGTCGGGCTCCCGGCCGGGGCCCCGCAGGGGCCGCGGGGGCGGCGCCGCTCGGGCCTCTCCGCTCGGGCCGCTGCGCGCTACGCCGGCCGTTCCCGCTCCTCGGTGCCCCGCGCGCTCCGCGCTGCTCGCCGCCCGCTGGTCCGCTCGCCGGCGCGGCCGCCCGGCCCGCCGCTCCGGTTCTCGCAGCCTCCCCTGCTCGCTCGCTCGCTCTGTGCCGCGCTGGCTGCGCTCCCCGCCTCCCCCGCCCGCCGCCCGCCCCCTTCGCGCTCCCCCCACCAACCCAGCCCGCCCCTTCCCGCCGCCGGCCCCTGTGCGGCCGCCCGTCGCCCGCCGGGGATTCCTTCTCCCTTTTGTCCCGGGCTCCCCTTTCTCCCTGAGGAGGATAACTTGCCCCCCCAGCGCCCATACAAACCAAGTCCGCAGCCACCAGGATTAAATTAAGGTGGGGGTGGGGCCCTTCCAGCCCCTTGGCTGGCCCCCACCCCCATGAACTGAGAGCTAGGAACTGAGGACCAGATAACTGGCAGCGAGGGGAGGTCTGCCCCAGGCGCCTGGGTCCTCGAAGAGAATCACACAGTGTTGGCGCCAGGAGAGGCTCCAAAGTGGGGAAACTGAGGCTGAGAGAGAAGGGCGTTGACCAAGGTCATGGGGCAAGGCCGGCAGGCAGGAGCTGGGGACAGCTCTGGGGCAGGCTTCCCTGCCCTGTGGCTGAGACCGCGCACCTGACCTTGCCTCCAACAGTGGAGCCTCCTTCCCAAGCCCTCACCACTGCTCAGCCTGCAGAGAGGGAGCCAGGCCCCAGAGGCAGTGCGGGACACAGAGGTGGCTGGGTGCCTGTAGGGACTGGTGTGAGGCTTTGTCAGTTCACATAGCTCCAGGTTAGACCTAATACTTGTGCAGGGCTCTCCCAGGCCCCAGAGCTTGTGTGCGCGTGGAGTGAGGGGTCAGGTGTTCGTGGGAGCAGTATGCCTGTGCATGTATCCGTTATCCATGAGGGTGTGTACGTGTGTTTTCGAGTCCACACGCAGATGAACGCATGTTGGGAGTGTGTGTGGACACCTGTGTGTGCCAAGGTTGTAAGCTGGGAGGGGAGGGCAGGAACCCGTGGGCAGGTGGGGGACAGTGTGCGGCCCCTGGGTGTGGGCCTGTGTTCGCAGACGTCCATGCATATTTATGAAGGAGGGATTGACCCTCTGGCCTCGCCATGGCCCCAGCTGCGGACCCCACCCCTTGAGGCCCCATCGGAACCACCTCCCTGCCCCCTTTGGTCCAATCAGCCCTCGGCCCCAGGGGAAAGCTGATTGCCACGGCCCTCTACGGCCCTGCCCTTCCCAGGCTGATTAGGTTTTTCTGCTTTTGTCGCTGATTAATCACAGGCCTGTCGCATGGCCTGGGGAGAGGGGCTCAGGGAGAGATGCCAGCCTTGGCTGAGCTGGGCTGGGCCAGGCCTGGGCCCCAGCACTTCTTGGACTTGGCTGTGGACACGGCTCCCAGCAGCATCTACAACCTGCAGAGAAGCCAGGAAGGACCCCAGCTGTTTGTCTGTCTGTCTCCCCAGCCGCTATGGGCCAGCTGGGTGCCCATTAGGACCTGGGGCTGGGAACTGTGTGAGGCCCCAGAAAAGCCCCTCCCGAAGCCCTCCTAGTCCACCAGTCCCGGGTCTGACGTTCCACCCTTAGAACTGAGTGCTTTGAGCTCCCTTGGGTCTTCTGCTGGAGCAGAGGAATGGGGAAGAAAGAACGTGGACCTCGGAGCCAGACAGACCTGGGGCTGCTGCTGTAGGAACTTAGTCACCTCCCTTAACCTCCTGGGGCCTCGGTTTCCCTTGTGAAGTGAGGGTGGCAGCGCTACCTCTCGGGCAGTGTGAAGATGAAGAGATGTAACATATGAGAGGTGCCTGGCAGGGCCTCCCTGTGTCTCTTGGGAGTTTACTATTAGCATAAAACCCCCCCCAAGGAATATGCAATAATAATAATTATAGCTGCAACGTACTGATGGGGAGTGTGAATGACAGCAGCTCAATCCTTTGGTGTTTACTGAGTGGCTAGCCAGTTCTAAATCAGGACCCCCACGTCTAGGGAAGGTGGGCTGGGACCTGCTGAGGGGCTGGTGGGAAACCCAGCTCCTGGTGACTTTCCAAGAGGCTGCCACACAGCATGTTGGCGCTCGCCAGACGGAGCTCCCGTTGCATCCCCTGTGGCTCCCGCCGTGCTGTCCAGGCAGAGAATCTTCAAAGGACGGGCAGAAACATTCCCCGAGTAAATCAAGCAAAAATCAATTGTGTGGGCCTGACTAGCACTACCTGCAGGTCTGTGCTGAGGGAAGGTGTAGGTGTCTGCTAAGACATGGGCCCTCCTCCTGGCCTCAGCCTTGGTCTGTGACCATCTTGTGACCAGGCTGCTCCCTGGGACAGGCTCCCACCAGGCCAAAGGGACAGGACCCTCCAGGTTTATAGCACCAAGAGATTATAGCACCAAGGTCGTGGTGCACCCACTGCTTGGGCCATTCTTGACCTCAGGCATATTTATGGAGGCCCATGGAGCTGGCTGTGTGTCCAGGGAGCTTCCACATGCCACCAGCTGCACCTGGGCTACACCTGGGCTGTGCATATGACCTGCACAGAGTCCCCTAAGACTCTGAAGGCAGTTTGGCCACACCCCACTCACGGTCAAGGGCAACCCCATTCAGGGAGCTGAAGGGACCAGGTTGGTCATGCAGAGTTATGAGATAGAGCTGGGGTTCAAGCTCAAGGCAGGAGCTGGGTAGGGGTGGGATGGGAATCCAGGCTCTGGGCCATGCTGCTCTCTCCCTGCCCTTCCAGGGTCAGAGGAACGCCACCTCCTCTGGGAACCTTCATCAACCTCCTCGGCCCTCCGGTGGGCAGCCCCTGGGTGCTAGGTCCTGCGAGCAAGCCAGGCTGGGAGTCAGAGGATGAGGGGGAGCTGCTTGTACCTGGGGCTCACAGAGCAAGCGCCAGAGGGCTGGGCAGCATGGTTAAGGCCAAAGCTCATTGCCTGCTGAAGGGCAGGTGGGGGGGGCAGTTTTTACAGAGGAAGGACATGGAAACGGGGCTTTTGGTTGAGGAGGCAGTGCCATGAGCAGTAAGAGCTCTGCGTGGAGAACCCAGAGCTGGACATGTGCCTTTGGGTGTCTCTGAACCTCAGCTTACTCACCTGTTAAATAGGAACACATCCAGCCCCCAGAGTGAATGCTTAGTTCCTGCACGCGAAGTGCTCAGGCACGGAACATGGTGGCTCTTACTACGAGTCAAGGGAACTCCAGGAGGAGGAGCAAGGGTGGGCAAAAGCTCAGAGATGTGTGAGGACCCCACTCAGCTCTGGAGGGCAGGGTCCGGGTCTGCACCTCCCAGATCCGAGCGCCTGGCGCAGGACTGGGCTGGGCTTGGGAAAGTGGCAGGGGCTGGATGAACATCTGCTGAAAGAATGAATGAGAGAATGAATGAATGAACGAAGGATCACACACCAGCCCAGCCGCCCTTCGGCGTTGCAGCCACGTCCTCTCCTCTGCACGTCACAGGGGAGCAGATGGTGAGATCACAGGGTGTGAATTGTGTCTGTCACTCCCCCATCTGGGGAAGGTGCCGCTGCCATCACACTGCACTCCCTGGGGTGCCACCAGGAGACTCGTGGGCCCTCCAGAGAGGGGTCTCCACAGACTTCCCCCACTAGTCCTTGTCTCAGGGTGCCGGAAACCCGAGGAGAGGTGCCCCATCTGTGACTCTGGGAGAATCCACCAAGTGGCAGGGAGGCAAGAGGAGAGAAGTGGGGACTACCCTGTCCAGAGGCTGGCTGCCTCCCTGCCAGAGACTGGAGCCCTCTCATCTCAAAACCAGCATGTTCCCCAGCATCCTGTCGCCACCCACATTCAGCACCAGGGAGAGCTACTGGCAGAGCCCAGGGCCAAGCCATACTGGGTAAAGTTGTGGAAGGATCCGGGAGGGATCAGGCAATACAGGCAATACAGGCAATACATGAACCCATTATCCAGAAGAGGATATCAAAATGGAGGGAGGGCAAGCACCAAGCTCAAGGCTTTGCTGGGGCCACTGACCGCAGCCCTGCCCAAACCTGGGGACTGCTGGGGGAGGCAGGGAGGTGCTGGTGGGGGAAGGGCACATCCAGGGAGGGCAGAGGCTCTGGCCTCTGATCCTTGGCTAGGGAACAATATTGTTCCAAGAACCCGCTGGGGACAGTGTGTGGAGATGAATAAAATATTCATCATCCGGGAAAACTCACAGTCACTTGATGAATAATGGAATTTATAGACCTGCAGAGGCAGACCCAGCCATGAGGGGTGCGGGCCAGGACCCAGAGGCCCCTGTCTGCTCTGATCTTGCCTTCCCCTGAGCACCTTCTCTGAGCCCTTAGATGCCCAGCTCCCACAGGTGACAGGGATAGACAGGACAGAGCAGGAGGCAGAGTCCATGAGAGGGAAACAGGGTGAAAGGGACAAGTCCTTAAATTTGTTACTCCTTGAGAATCAGCTTGGTGGTAGAAAAAGAGCACTAAACTTGGAGTCCATTGTGGCTGGCATGAAACCCGGCTGCTGTTACCAGTTCTGTGCCCTGGGTGTGACACCCAGTCCTGCCTCAGTTTCCTCCTCTGTAAGATAGGGTTGACTACCACTACCCAACCGAGGATTGCTGGGATCTGATGAGATGACAAGGTGACAGTGCCTGGTACTCTGTCCCTGGCACACACAGTGCTGGGACATGTTGCTGAGAGCTGGACCTTTAGAGCCTCCCTTTCTGGCTCTCACACTACCCTGGGCC